GATGATGATGATGATGATATGATGACGATGATGACGACGATGATGATGATGATGATGATGATAATGGGGTGACGACAATGAAAATGATAGTTGCTGTATGCAATAATGATACTATAATACAATGATACTGATAAAAGATACCCCTTACATTATTATTGTCATTACTTATCTTAATGATAATGCAAATCAGTAAAAATATCATGATATGGTGAAAAATAACAATGGTGTCTCTCTCTCTCTCTTTCTCTTTCTTTCTTCATTTCTCTCTCTCTCTCTCTCTTTCTTCATTTCTCTCTCTCTCTTTTTCTCCATTTCTCTCTCTCTCTCTCTCTCTCTTTCTTCATTTCTCTCTCTCTCTTTTTCTCCATTTCTCTCTCTCTCTCTTTCTCTTTCTTTCTTCATTTCTCTCTCTCTCTCTCTCTTTCTCTCTCTCTCTCTCTATCTCTCTATCTCTCACTAATTTGCTGGTGTTTGTAATCCATGTTTCATTCAGATGAGTTTATTGTCCAACAATTCACCGATCCATTCAACTTATCAGCAGCTGTTATTTTATCTGGTCGCTTCGCATTCAGTTTATCCAATGTTCATTCGTTCGTTCATTCAATCGATCATTTGTTTGTTTGTTTGTTTGTTTGTTTGTTTGTTCGTTCGTTTGTTCGTTTTTTTTTAATTCATCCATCTATGTTTTCATTCATTTATTTTCTTTTCTTCATTCAACCATTCATCTATGTTTTCGTTCACTAGTTTTTCATTAATCAATTTATCCAAGTGTGATTTCATTCATTCATTCATTCATTCATCTTTTGCTTTTGTTCATTCGTTCGTTCGTTCATTTGTTCGTTCGTTCGTTCGTTCATTCATTTATTCATTCATCATTCATTCGTTCGTTCGTTTGTTCATTTATTCATTCATTCGTTTGTTCGTTCATTCATTTATTCATTCATTCTTTCAATCATTCATTTGATTGTTCGTTCATTCATTCATTCATTCAGTCATTCATTCATTCACTCACTTTCTATAATTCATCTGTTTGCCGTCACCTAATTTTATTAAGAGAAAATTTTTGTTTCAAATTTTAAAAATTCCCAAAATTTTTAATTTTTCATCCATTTAGAATTCAACTGATGCCGAAATTGCCTTCCTTTATTAATTTATATAATAATTTTCTGCTTGCTCGCCTTTGTTCGCTTATTCAATTAATTA